ACCCAACGCCAACCGGGCGAGTCGCAGTGGCGTGCAAGGCAGCCCTAGAGCATCAAGCGAGGCGACGCCTAACACGCAACGGCTATCCTCCCTACCAAAACCTAAGCGCAACTAAGAGTATAGCGAGGCGACGCCTAACACGCAACGGCTGTCCTCCCTACGAAAACCTAAGCGCAAAGGTTTTCGTAGGGAGGACAGCCGTTGCGTGTTAGGCGTCGCCTCGCTATACTCTTACAGTTGCGCTTAGGTTTTGGTAGGGAGGATAGCCGTTGCGTGTTAGGCGTCGCCTCGCTTGATGCTCTAGGGCTGCCTTGCACGCCACTGCGACTCGCCCGGTTGGCGTTGGGTCCGGTAACCATCGGGAGGCTAGCACCAGGGCCAATGGCGGCGACAGCGCCAAGAAGACCGGCAGGAAGTCTGCAGCGACAGCCGGCAAGAAGAGGGCAGCAGACCCTTCGCCGCGCACTAATTCTCCACCACTGGTGAGTTACGCGTTGCGTACGTAAGGTTGAGGATGACGGTGTAGGCTCTCACTTCATCAATACATTTGCAACGCTGCAGCACGATTAAACTAATGTGGCGAGTTGTGGGTCATACTGCTGTAGTGTGCATATTACTATGTAGACGATGCAAGTACAGCAGTAAGTATCCTTTATATCCCAATCCTTTGTGTCCCCGCGCCGTGGTTGTACTTTCATTGTGCTCTCATTCCGCGCGGGGCCTTGTGATCGGTCGGCATCGACCCCGCTCATTACAGGACGATTCCCTTCGGCGTGGGTGCATAGGGCCTACTTGCTTCGGCTCGCCGGGTCGTGTTGACAAATTGTGTGTCGAATTGTTCACAAATTCAAAAAAATTTAANTGTGTGTCGAATTGTTCACAAATTCAAAAAAATTTAACGGACATAAATTCGGCAGATTGTCGAGCTGGCGCAGCGTAATCGCACACAATATATAATATATGGCCATGCAGCGGACGCCATGTCGCATCTCATCCCTACTGATGTCGGCTCTAAACCCACACCTTGTGGTGGGGTATACATTGACACCTAATCCTGTAGACTACATA